GACATTCCTCTGTGAACATCGCCGAGCTGTTTTCTGCTCGTCAGCATGGGATTGGAGTTGAAGGGGTGGAATGGGGAAAAAAAGGGGGGGGGGTGCGGTCGAAAGGGAATTAAGGCTGCATGAAGAACACACTAGCAGAGGTCAAGATGATCAGTAGAAGGAGGAGCTACACGGGATTACACAAAATGCGGGACTTTGCTGTCGTAGAAGCTACAGCAGAAAGAATTTTTCTTAACCTACACCTTAGATGTTCAAATACTCCACTCCATCTTCGATATATCCGACGGGATGATTAAGCTCAACAAGAAACTCATCTCATCTGGCCTTCTCTATTTCCTACTTCTGTATATACCGAAGCTCCTGCTTCTAACTTCCCGCTGCAATAGCTGCATAGATACGTAACGAGATAAGCAAAGAGGGAAGTTTTGACGCCAACTGTACTTCACAAATGGGTCGGGTTAAACCTCGGTTACAATATACTAGTTATTCTTTGTTACACATGTCCTTCAAAGCACACAATACATATTTCTCTATCAGTAATAGGCTATGTTTCAAACCTCACGATCGACCTCAATTAGAGAGTTTTACAAACACTATAACTGAACCCTATCTGTCTTACCCCCCCCCCCCAATAAATAAATAAATAAATAAATAAATAAATAAATAAATAATAAATAAGTAAATAAATAAATAAATAAATAAATAAATAAATGAAATAAAAAAATTAACAATTAACAATTTTAAAAAAATTTGAAATCGGCACTATTTAAATCATTTAGGAAGCGGGCTGTTTTGACCTTCCTTGTCAGTCAGGGCCAACCTGGGTTCAGAGGAATACAACATCCTAGTAGACAGACGGGGTTGATTTTTAAAAAGAAGAAAAATCCGACCCACTCGGAGATGGAATTCACGTCTTCTTCGCAAAAACGCGAAACGCCTAACTGCTACACCACAAACCGCGTAAGTTAGAGAGTGCGTGTTGTAATCTAACGGTGCTATCAACACAGTTAAAGTTCAAATAAGTTGCATGTACAATCCCTTTGCTTATTTTTCACAGAATTGAACATTATTTATGTCTAAATAATGCTTTTGTCTTGATATGATTCATAGTTCTTAACACAATAAGAACGTATCGTATAATATGAAATAATAATATGTCTTTCAAGCATTTTATAAAAGTTGCTCCTGACCCGATCTCTTTCATAAAAGCAATGATCTTTCTTGGAACAATATCAAATGAAATTCGACTTGTTACGACAAATATCTACCCCCCCCCCCCCCCCCACACACACACACACACACACACACACACACACACACACACACACACACACACACACACACACACACACATGCCTATAATATGCAGACTTGGCTTCACTTTGAAATTGTCTTTGAAAAGGGAACGAGACACTGGAATTTGGGGCTGCATGTGCATCAAAAAGGTTAAGTATGTGTATGTGTGTGAGGGGGGCAATGATCAATACATTTGTAAGAATTAGGAATTTCAACACATTTTCATCCTCGACGACAACTTCAAATTAGGTCTATTAGGAGTACCAAAAAAATTATTTTCTTTACATTCAGGAATCAATCACATAGAAGCCAGTTCTGTTTGGGTTTTTTTCATAGTAAGATTTCCGTATTATGTTACATATAATAATTTGATATACGGCAGTAGCTCTCAAAATGGGACACAAGGTAAGCTATACATATTATATGTGAAAGTCCGTCACTTTCGCCTCCTAAAACTTCCGAACCACTTAACGTTCGAATTTGAAAAAAAAAAATAACTGCGATTCAGAATCATTTAAAGGAGCACAGTTTTATTGAGGAGTCTGAAGTCACTGTAGTTTAACTTTTAGTTTGTCATAAGTTTCGTTTAGATCTAATCTAGGGAAAGTCCGTCTTCTAAGATGCCATTGTAAACAAGTGAAGTTTCTGTTCTCAAAGAGTGCGTGCGCTGATCCCACAATGACCTGACGATCTATTCTTTTAAGTCTGTTCATCGAAAGGGAAACCCAGCTAGATCTAGTAGTAAATAAAAGCGCAGATTCAATTAATTATCAGAAGCGTAGAGTCGGTCGCAGAAGATTGTGTTCTCTCATTAATTCGTATTCTTCTATTCTTAAAGACGAACTCTCGCAAAGTGCTGAAGCCTCTCTGTTGGGCGTGCTTTTATGTGTGTGGTCTGTTTGATGTTATGTCTAAAGTAAGAAAAACGTTGGATTTTTTATAAAACAGCTTTCTTATACAGCTTTCTTATTGTTGCTGTTTTAGAGTGTTACTCTACGGTGATTATTTTGGGGGGTTGGGTTTCGGGAGAAAGGAGAATGAATATATTTTTAAAAATAAGGCTTGTAAAGAGATAAAAGTACAAAATGCAAAAGAAAAAGAGGATGGAGGAAAAGAATTGGGAAATAAGAATATGTCAATAACGAAGGACATGTGATTACAAAATGAGAAATCGATAGTCGGGGAGAGAGAGAGAGAGAGAGAGAGAGAGAGAGAGAGAGAGAGAGAGAGAAGACTTTAAGGAGAGGGACAAACAGTAAGGCGTTTGGGAGGGGGGGGGGGCAAATAAATGAGACGAAGAAACTAAATATTTTATCACGAGTAGAAACAAACATAGCTAGAGCGAGTGAGTGTCTGACTATGCACGCGCGTGTGTCTTAAAGCGAGGTGGTGAGCAGAGACATTTCTTCAGAAATGGACAATGGAAAAGAGAGTGAATTTAAGAAATCGCCCGAGGAGACAAAGTGAAACATGTAAATCCCGACTTCCTAATTCTTAAGATAGTTAAAAGTGTCTTCATGAAACAAAGTGGCTCTACGGAGCCCCTGAACGATCGAACTTAGTCAAGTAAGCTCCGAATGGAGGGCTAAAATTTACTTTTATCGAAAGTTTGTGAAAATGAATGTACGAGTGTCGGTCACTGCTCGTAGTGCTGAAGCAGCGCATATGTGCTGGGCTTAGCTAAAAAAAACTGGCAAAAATGACCCAATAACAGAACAATCTACGCATTGCTAGGTGCCAAACACATTCCTGATAATAAACTGCCATTTCAAAATACGCCCACTTTGAGATCCACTACAAAACAAACAGAAAAAAGGTAAAAATAGAATAATCAGATTTCGGAGGAAACGAATGTCAAAATAACCTTGGGGCATGAATGTGAGACACACCCCACAAAATGAAAATTTCGAAGTGATACTCGAGGATTACAGTGGATTCTCACGCCCGTTCGAGTCAGAAGAATACGACATGTTATAAAACACGTTTTGAAAAATGACACTAATAGAGCTTTCAAGATCCAAAGCTCCGTGGTGCCTCAGAGAAAGTGTTGGCCACATAAGAAAATTGAACTTTAAAAACTTGCTGAGCCTCTCATTCACAATCTCTTTAACAAGAAGTTACCAACATGCAGTCATGTATCTGACATAATAATCATGTTTTATAGATCGCATTGATTTTTTTGAATTGCTTTTGGTTTCATCATACATCACACCGGTCAACAAAGAACATGCAACCAATATTCTCCCTAAATGATTTCTGAAACACCAATTTCAAATCTGGAAACCTTTTTCTTTAAATCGATGAAGTCAGGCTTTCTAGCTATTGACCATTTTATGGCTGGATGTTCAAGGCCTTTATGACTATTCAGATGTCCCAAAAACTGCATTTGTTTTTTTCTGATTGTTTTTATCAGCGAGGGCCCATGTGAACTTCTTCAAGTACTATCTCATTTGATTTCTTTTCTTTCCAAGATATTCCCAGCAGTTTCCTAAAGAAACCACATTTCTGTAGCTTCTATTTTATCTTGCCACGATTTTCTAGGGAGATTACAGCGGTGGTTTCCCGTTGCCTACTGCCAGTTTGTATACACTTTTATCTGCTAGTCTTTGTCATCCTTTGACAATCCGTGTATTGAAGCACCCGTTCCACCAGAGTTCTCCTCTATTCTCCACGGTCACTTCGAATATATCTTTAAAAAAGGCTCTTTATCCACTCGCATCCTGACTTTTATCCTTCCAATCTTGGAGATTCAAGCCATGAACATGGTGTTTCCCCAAAATAGCAAACAGATATCAAAACAAGTTGAATTTGAATATGGTGGAGACTGCTGACGATGTCTTCGACATAAAACGAGCACTCCACACAAGCAAAGATCGAGCAGCAAAGAGTCTCAAGCACTTCTGACTCATTCAAATTACGCTGCTTATTTGTAAGTTTTAAAGTTGCTTTGATATATTAGTCCATGAATCTTTTCTCAATTTTTCTCACTTGAAAATGTTTAGAAAATTATTAAAATGTAACTATAGTTACATTCCTTTTCACTGGTATTTAAAAAAAATGAATTTAGTGTTCATAAACAAAAGCTGGTATCCTGAATATTAGTACTGAAATCAGAAACCTAAAATTACTTCAGAACACACAATGTATCTCTGGTGGAAGGAAAAAAAGTTGAACAATTTGTTGAACAGTGTCATCGATGTTTGGGGGAAAAACGATTTGTCAAAAGACAAGAGTCTCTAAGGAAAGTGGTGATTATCAACAACAGAGCTCCATTTCGCCAGAGTTGTTTTGCTGGAGTAAAAAAAAGCAAAGATGAACAAAGTGAGAGAAAGAGAGAGAATAAGAGAGAATAAGACATAAAAAGGCAGGCAAAAAGGCAGAAAGATACAGAGGGAGGTGGGGATGAGAAAAGAGAAGTCAGTGAGATTAAATCATTTTGTGTTTGCGAGGCAGGGTAGACCTTTCAATACACCACATAAAAACAATATGCATAAGCTGCATTTGGCTAATTTTCCTTGTTTTGCTGGAGGGTCTTTTTAAAAAAATCTATTTATTTATTTTTTTTTTTTTGGGGGGGGGGAGGGGGGGTTGTCCTTAGTGTTGCTGTTTCCAGTTGCACAATAGATGTAACAAGCGCAAGACAGTCCCCACCAAACAAGAAATAACCCGTGATCTAAGAGATGGAGTGATGTAGAACTACTCACCGACTGAGGCTCTTATGGTTGTGATGTCGTAAGTCTCCAAGTGATAAATGACGTCATCAATAGCTTCCAGTCCTTCTTCAGGTGTCATCAACACCTCGTGGTGTTCAGTGCCCAGGTGCTTGGCCACCTGGCGAATTCCAAAATGAGGTCACAGTTGAAATAGAGGGGAAAGCATAGTTTAACACCCCCATTGCCCAAATCATTTGGAAGTGCTCCACGTAATATAAAATCCGGGGTCACCATGAGGGTCACACTAGGATTGAAGCTCTGTCTTACAGAATCAGGAAGCAGCAATTGTGACACGGTCGTTACACGTGAGGATATTGGGTTGTGATAGTATAGCCCTACCATTCTCACAATGAATTCCGATTATAAATTAAAAGACCGTTTGATTAAACTTAATCGTTACTCCAGATCTTGATAAATTAAAAGTCTACTCTGTTAGAATCTGACCAAAGTCTGAGTCACTACATCAGCGCTACAGCATTGGCAGGATGGTTAACTTTCGGATTTTTATTGCTTTATTGCTATTACTATGTTATTTTCCATCTCCTTTTTTCTTTACACTAACTTTGAATCAAGCGCTCTGCTCTCAGTAAAACGTCAAGTCAGGTACACGTAAGATGCAGGGCGTTAAGTCGGTTCTTATACAAAATATATCATGTGCAACTCTACCTTTCTTGCAGCAACCAAGTCCGTGGCTCCCTCCATGCCAATGGCAAAAGTTTGCAGGGGATAACCCAGGCCTCTCTTCTTTGCCAGCTTGACTAGCAGGGCAGCGACTAGGCTCGAATCCAGACCACCTGCAAGGTGGCGAATATGTGTTATGGTTGTTGCGTTATAACTCACTTTTAAATGGCTGCTTTAACTTTAGTTTAATTAGTTCTGGTCAAAATGGTATGAGTATGTTATGTGCTATTATAACGACTTATATCATATGTAAAGACGAAACAACCAAATATAATGTTAAGTTCCGATAGGGGCGAGCTTGACCGGATGAAAGTATTGTAAAGTTCCAGGCTGGAGACACCGTAGTTCAGCAAAACATCAACTAAGCTGTCATAAAGTTAAGCACCCATAATCTGGAATTAACCCTTCTTTTAACACAGTTAGGTAAATAAGAGGCGACATTTCCCATTCCCAGACAGGACTTGGTCCAGTAGGTGGAAACTCATGAATACGTTTTTAACCACCGAACATCAGGAATGTCCAACTCAGAATTTGCATCGGGATCGCCCATCTCACAGCATGATGTTCATAGTCTCCTTCCTTTTTCGTGTTTCCACAACCACCAACAAGAATTTTAATGTAAGGGGCGAAACTGGGTAAATTTTCATTCGAAGAGATGCAACAAGGAAAAATAAAGTTCCGTTATAAAAGCCTTGTTGTCCCCCTTGGTACATTTCTGGCCTCGAAAACAAATCCAAGCAGCAAGACTAGGCCAGACCATCAATAATAATGTATGCATAGAGGCACCAGTCATCCATGTCCAGGTGCTGTTTTAGCCTCTTTGAATTAATCTATTATTGTTTTCCACTGAAGGGAAGTCATACACATCATTAACGCCACGCACCTTCTGGTATTCATTACACTAAGGCAGAGTCAAGTTGTGCTATTTTCGAGTAAGAAGAAGAATCTATCAATTGTCCTTTGATTTGCGCAGTATCAATGATAACTTGTCCGTGGAGTCTAGACGTTGGTGTAAGTCTATATTTGAATGACACACATGGCTATTGTATGTATATAGAACGTGACATTCTATTATACCATTAATTAAACCGGCGAAAGTGGCTTCAAAGTTGGATAGGAGTATATTTTGAATTTTGCGCTACTCTTTTCTATGTTAGAGCCTCCGAGGGATCTTTAACGTGCAAATTTCCGTATGTAACGGCCGCACTTTGCTTTCCTTATTTGAGAAGACAAAGTGCTTGATCCTTCTTATCGGTAGTGCAGAAAACCCTGAGAATTTTTTTAAAGCTTATGCTGACGGGAATTGAACTCTGAACATTCGGGCTGTCGGATGAACACAATACCTGCTGAAATGCTGAGCCCTCTCAATGTTGTGTCTCATGTCCATCCATTTCAAATTCCCCCAATTAGCTGAGAGGGAGAGAGAGAGAGAGAGAGAGAGAGAGAGAGAGAGAGAGAGAGAGAGAGAAAGGTCAAATGAGCACCAAGGGGTGGATGTCAACAGAGAAGTCCAAACAGGGAATCAGGCTTACTCTGCTCATCTCTTTAGCCTCAACAGCACAAAGTCTACTTCGACTGGCAAGGCACCCCGGAAATAGCAGTTCACAAGAGAGTGACAAACACACAAAAGAAGTAGAGGTAAAATGACGATAGTAAGGATGAGGAAAGTTTTAGTAGTAGAGGTTTTACGGCGCTCGCAACTGCATAAGGTCATATGTGCGCCAAAAGATTAGAGGTGTTAAAAGAGAGTAACAAACATAAAAAAGAAGAAGGGGGGATAAGGACGATAGATGTTTGATAGGAAAGAAGAAGCAAACCACACCAGAGCACCCGCCAACTACCCACTTGAGGAAAGTAAAAGCAGCAGTTCCCCCTATGTTGTTCCGGCACAGTATGAGTATGACATTAATAAATCAGCCCATTTACAATTCAATTGTGCATAAGAACATGTTAATATCCCCCTTTTAGGAATGGCCTAAGGGCAACATCTGTCAGTAGCACTGCCCTGGTGGGAGACTTTTGTTTTTTTAAAACATACATCTGTACACTCTGGTGTGGTTTTGGCGCAGTATCTATTCGGAGACGGCTCCGACGGAAATAGACCTATCAAAATGCTTTGTGCCTCTAGACAAAGTAAAAAAGATCTTGGGGGGTTTAACCCAGAATTTGATATTTTAAGATAAGATAAGATAAGATAGTACTTTATTATCCCAGAGGGAAATTTTCCTTGGCTGTACAGGACCATAAAAACACATGCAGGTATACATTTAAAAAAAATTTCATCATATATATTACTCTCATTAAAATTCAATATGAAAGGAGAAGTTAAGCTGACAAAATGTACATTTACATCAAACGCATCATTCAACCACATGCAGGAATTTAAATACTAGACCTTTGGAGTT